CAATCCAACAAGAAGATATAACAATTATAAATATGCACTCTCAAAACCACACTGAGATACCACCTCTCATGGTCAGAGTGGCTAAAAGGAACAAATCAGGAGACTCTAGATGCTGGAGAGGATGTAGAGAAACGGACACCCTCCTACACCATTGGTGGGAATGTAAACTGGTGCAGCCACTCTGCACAGTGTGCAGGTTCCTCAAAAAATTAACAATAGAACTTCCCCATGACCCAGCAGTAGCACTGCTAGGAATTTACCCAAGGGCTATAGGAGTGCTGATGCATAGGGGCACATATACCCCAATGTTCATAGCAGCACTGTCAACAATAGCCAAAACATGGAATGAGCCTAAGTGACCATCAACTGACGAATGGATCAAGAAGATGTGGTTGATCTATACAATGGAATACTACATAGCAATGAGAATGAGTGAAATCTGGCCATGTGTGGCAACATGGATGGACTTTGAGGGTGTTATGCTGAGCAAAATAAGTCAGGCAGAGAAGGACAGCTACCATATGTTTGCACGTATAGGAGGATTAGGAGGAACTTAATGGAGGACCATGGGGGAGAAGAAGGGGAAAAATCATTGGGGAGAGGGAAGGAGGCAAACCATGAGAGACTCTTGAATGCTGAGAACAAACTAAGGGCCAATGGGGGTTGGGGGGAGGGGAAGGGGATTGATAGGCATGGAGGAGGGCACTTGTTGGGATGAGCACTAGGTGTTATATGGAAACCAACTTAACAATAAACTATTTAAAAAAGAAAAGAAAAGAAAAAATAATAAAATTCATTTTCAAAGAACAAAAAAATAAATATACACTCAACATGGAAGCACCCAAATACTTAAAGCAGCTAATAACTAACATAAAGGAAGTAATCAATAGTAATACAATAGTAGGAGACTTTAACATCCCACTTATATCAATGGATAGATTATCCAAACAGCCAATCAAAAACAAAAAAGTGGTTGTGAATGACACACTGGATCAGTTGGACTCAAAAATATATTCAGAACATTTCATCCTGAAACATTAGAATACATATTCTTTTCAAGGACACATGGAACATTTTCCAGGATAGATCACGTTAGATTACAAAACAAGTCTCAACAAATCTAAAAGATTGAAATCGTATCATATATATATATTTTTTTCTTTTTTTTAAAAAAAACATTATGAAACTAGAAGTCAACCACAAGAAAAAAATTTAGAAAGAGAACAAATAAATGGAGATAAAATAACATGCCACTAAACAATGAATGGATCAATCAAGAAATCAAAGGAGGAAATCAAAAAATAAAGGAGACACATGAAAATAAAAATACAGTGATCCAAAATATTTGAGACACAGGCAACGCTGTTTTAAGAGGTAAGTTTATAGAAATACATTAAGAAGAAAAATTAAGAAGGCCCACATTAAGAAGAAAAATCTCAAATACACAACCTAACCTTATACCTAAAGGAACTAGAAAAAGAACAAACAAAACTCCAAAATAATAGAAGGAAGGAAAAAAAAGAAATATTAGAGCAGAAATAAATGAAATTCAAATTGACAAAAACAGTAACAGATCTATAAAACCAGGAGCTGGTTCTTTGGGAAAATCTATAAAATCGATAAACTTTTAGACAGAGTCATGAGGGAGAGGGATGGGGAGAGGGAGAAAGAGAGGACTTACATAAACAAAATCAGAAATGAAGAGAAATAACAACCAACACCACAAACATACAATTATAAGAGAAAATTATGAAAAATAACATGACAACAAAGCGAGCAACCTAGAAGAAATTGATAAATTCTTAAAAACATATAACCTCCTAAAACTGAATTAGAAAGAGAAAATTTGAAAGGCCTGATGACCAGCAATGAAATCAAATCAGTAGTCAAAAAATTCCCAACAAAAAGAAGTCCAGGACAAGACAGCTTCAAACATTTAAACAAGAGTTAATGCCTATTGTTGTCATACTGTTCCAAAGAAGAGAAGAGAAAGAAAAGCTTCCAATTTATTCTATGAGGCCAGCATTACCCTGATACTAAAACCAGGTAAAGACACAACAAAAGAAAACTATAGGCCAGTATCTCTGAGGAATATGAATATAAAATTCATCAACAAAATATTATCAAACTGAATCTAATGATACATAAAAAAAGTATTCACCATGATCAAGTGGGATTCATTGCTAGGACATAAGAGGTTCAGTATTTACAAATTAATCAACATGATACATCATGTCAACAAAACACAGGATAAAAATCATATGATCATTTCAATAGGGACATAGAGAATTCAACAGAGTATAACACGTATTCATCATAAAAACTCTCAATAAAGTTGGTTTTTAGGGAAAATACCTAAATATAATAATGTCCATATATGAAAGTCCCACAGCTTACATTATAGTCAATGGTGAAAAACAGCTTATTCACTAAGGTCAAGAACAAGACAGGGTTTTCCACTCTCACAACTTTTATTCCCCATAGTACTGGAAGTCCTAGCCAGAGCAATCAGATAAGAAAAAAATAAAAGGTATCCAAATTGGTAAGGAAGAAGTAAAACTTACACTATTTGCAGATGACAGGATTCTATATAGAGAACACACAAAAGACTCCAGCCAAAACTGCTAGAAATGATAAATGAATTCAGTAAGGTTGCAGGATATAAAATCAATATACAGAAATCTGTTGTATTTCTCTATGCTAATAATAAATTATCAAAAGGACAAAGAAAACAACACCATTTGCAATTGCATCAAAAACAGTAAAATATCTAGGAAGAAACTTGACCAATGAGGTAAAAGACCTGTACGTTGAAAATTAGAAAACACTAACGAAATGAATGGAAGATGATACGAACAAATGGAAAGATATTCCATGCTCATGGATTGTAAGAATAAATACTAGTAAAATATCCATACTATCCAAAGCAATCCATACATTTAATGAAATTCCTATCAAAATACCAACAGTATATGCATAAAATAGAACAAATATCTTACATTTGTATGGAACCACAAAAGACCCTGAATAGGCAAAGTATTCTTGAAAAAGAACAAAACTGGAGGTATCCCAATCCCAGATTTCAAGATATACCACAAGCTATAGTAATCAAACTGTATGGTACTAGCACAAAAGCAAACACATAGATCAATGGAACAGAATAGAGAATCCATAAATAAACCCACATTTATATGGTCAATTAATCTCTAACAAAGAATACACAAGGAGAAACAGGTCTTTTCAATTAATGGTGTTGGGAAAATTGGACAGCTACCTATGAAAGAATGAAAGTGGGCCACTTTATAACACCATATACAAAAATAAACCCAAATGGTTTAAGGATGTAAATATGAGCCTGGAATCATTAAAATCCTTGAAAAGAGCACATGCAGTTATTTCTCTGACTTTAGCCACAGTACCATTTTTCTAGATAGGTCTCCTCAGGGAAAAGAAACAAAAACAAAAATAAATTACTGCAACTACATCAAAATAAAAATCTTCTGCAGAGCAAGAAAACAATCAACAAAACTAAGACAATCTACTGAATGGGAGAAGATATTTGCAAATAATATATCCAATAAAGTTTCAGTATCCAAAGTATATTAAAAACTTATACAACTTACCACCAGAAAACCAAATAATACAATAAAAATTGGGCACAAGTCATGGACATTTCTCCAAAAAAGACATAGAGAAAGGCAAAAGACACATGAAAAGATGCTCAACATCACTCATCATCAGGGAAATACAAAGCAAAACCACAATTAGATATCACTTCACACCTATCAGAATGTCTAAAATAAAAATGTTACATTTTGTTACAACAAGTGTTGGTGGGGATGTGGAGGAAAAGTAACCCTCATGTACTGTTGGTGGGAATGTAAACTGTTGCAGTCACTGTAGAAAACAGTATGGAAGTTCCTCAAATGTTAAAAATAGAATTGCCAAGGTATAGATAAACCACATCTTCTTGATCCATTCATATGTTGATGGACACTTAGGCTCTTTCCATGTTTTAGCTATTGTGGAGAGTGCTGCTATGTACATGGCAATGAGAAAGAATGAAATCTGGCCATGTGTAGCAACATGGATGGACCTTGAGGGTGTTATGCTGAGTGAAATAAGTCAGGCAGAGAAGGACAAATATCATATGTTTGCACGTATAGGAGGATTAGGAGGAACTTGACGGAGGAACAAGGGGGAGAAGAAGGGCGGAAATGGTGGGGGAAAGGGAGAGAGGCAAACCATGAGAGACTCTTGAATGCTGACAAAAACTGAGGACTGATGGATG